AGTGTTGTTATGTCGGATGTTTGCGATATCGAGTCGTCTATGACGTAACATTTTTGACGCGGATGAGGGATGAACTTTCAAGCGTGTACGAACGAGGATATGGTGCGACACATGGGCGTTACCAGTCTCGGCACCATGCATCGATCTGCTATTGTGAACCGACCTGCGAATCCTTGAGCTGACTAGTACGTAATCAGTCTGACTGACCGTATGGCGTCGTTTGATTACCAGGTCAGCAGATGTTTTTTGCAATGCTGGAAACCTGTGTTGGCGACAAACAATCGGTTTCGATCAGCGGTGTTTAGCAATCACTAACCATTTTAATTTACGAGACCAAGACCAAATCAGCCAAGAAGATGACTGGTTGTGCAGCAACCGCCCGTTTCTGCTTTTTGTCTCTGATGATGGATTCGAGTAGGAATCCGAAACGTCAGACTAATAAAACTGTTGTCCCGGCGCTCGTGTCTCCTTCTTCAAGACTACTTCCTGGGACTCGTCTCTTCGCTTCTATAGTTCCACCAGTCTTTTTTGAAGTACAACGTGCATCCAGATGCATGGGTCTTTACTGACTAAAATCCGACTAAACAACCCTGTAAGCATTATGGTGTGAAATATGTGTTCGCGCGATAGTCGCAGCGTAGAAACGGCCGCCATCAGTGTAGGGTGAAAACACAGTCGATACAGCAGTTTTGACGGAAAAGAAATAGATAAAGTAGTCAGTTCAGTCCATCCTTCAGTCCTTCCTACACTTGAGTCTTGTGAGGAAAATCACGGACCTTGGCTCTTCAACTTGGGTCAACTGTTTGGTATATCTATGTGAACAGGCAGAAGTTTTCCCAGACTAGTTGCTCAGACGTGAGCATCACTGCAGTTTATGTTATGGCCGTTCTGATTGCAAATGGCTAAAGCGTCTGTCTTAGGCATGCCTAATGTGTAACTTGGGATGCTTAAAACCACTGTTCTGTCGGTTCGTTTCAAAATGTTGAATGTATTGACCCATATATGCTGCAATTACCTCATATGAACATAAAGACTATTGTCAGGTGTCTTTCATAAAGCGTCTACTGGTTAATGGATTTATGTAACTGAGCTATAAATTATTGGGTAAGATGTAGTTATGCATGCCCACCTGATGAAAGCAATTATGTTTGATTAAGGTAAGCGTTAGGCATTATCGTATTTATCATCATCACTATCATCGCAATCAAAAAAAGCAATGACTACTACAACCGTAATAAAAATTTTCGCAGGTCATTCGGTTCAAAATAAGGGCGTTTGAGCCTGACGACAATTTTAAGAAAGTGTTGATTGTGATTTATTTTGGGTTTTACGTTGCTGTCAATAATAACTAATGAATGAATTCCAAAAACATGAAATGGCTAATGTCAGCAGACACATTGTATTTGCGCAACATATAAACACTTGTTTTATTCAAAATTGTCTTCTCAAAATACCCATTTACCACAGGTGATAACCCTACGACTCGGTCTCATTTCTCCACAGCCGGAGTTCGGCTACTCCTTTCCCTCGAGACATTCCCTAATAAACCCGGCTCGCACGAGCAATTAGATAATTATGCTGTAGCTCGGATACATGCAGGAGAGTGGAGGGGATGGGGGAGAGTGAAACACCACAATCCCAATCAACGCCGTAGAGAAGGTGGGTCCCGTGGGAGGTAATGATATGCGGGCTTCTGGCTTGGTGGTTTTGACCCATGGCAACGGTGGAACCTGTATGAAGTTCATCTCTACGCATATGACCGGTCTGCGTAACCTGATTGCAGCCGCTTCTGCCGTAGCCAGCAAGCGCTATCCAAATATATTTAGATAGCTCAACGGGGCCCCGTAAATCACTCTCAAGGCCGCTCTGGCGTCTGCACGATTGTCTTTGTCTGCCATGTGCGCGAGGTTCAATCTGTTGTTGTTTTTAGATTTGACCCTTCCTAACCATGCTGGAAGATTTTTGTTTATTCTTTTGGATACATGACGGCTCGTGCGACCAACAGATTCTGCCCCACAGGAGTTGGTGAAGGTGGTATGAGCTGGTAGGTTGCCTTTGCCCTCTCCATATAGGATGACACTGGTGAAGAACAGTTAGATGTTGTCAGCTGTTGAGCTGCAGCATGAGAAAGACGTCTTCTTAAAACTTCTTTCGACACCCTCACTTGAAATGTGACACTGTATAAGAACCTTTTTTTTCCTGTCGTCAGCCTCGGCGTCTCTGGTGGACTTTCACTCATATTTTTAGCAATTAATCGAGTAGGATATCCGTTGTGGCGCAAAAAGGTCTGCTATGATCTTAACTTCTTCCTCAACGCTACCAGCTGAGCTGATTCTCTCCACTCTTTCTGTTGAACAGCAGGGTACATCATTTTGAGCATTTAGCCGTTCGAATCTCCCACAATGGGGTGTACTATCCGGACCACGTTTTCTTACAATAGACGCTACGTCGAATACTGCCGTCAGAAAGTCTACTCGGAAGCACATACAGAAAGTGGACTGAACCGTTACGTTCTTTTTCCAGAGAGAATTTAAATGAGGAATTCACGTGATTTATATCCTACAGTATCATTAAGATTGTGCTCTATTTCGGTGCAATTGCGTATATAGCACCCACGTACCGTCCATTGTACCTCAGAGCGTTCATCTGGCGACGTCGCTGGAAGCTACTAGCTTTCCTTTGAATATATTCGCCAAAGGCAGGCCAAGCGGCTAGCCCATTGCCACACCGTCTATTTGTCTATATAGATTGATGTCAAATAGGAACTGCATGTTAAATGTCAATTTCAAACATCCTTATTTCGAACCGAATGACCTGCGTTAATTTTTATTTTAGTGGCTGGGAACTGCAATATTTATGTACCATTATAAGATTTTTTGGCCATTGTTTCCGCGTATACATTGGACGACTAAGCGCATTTCAGCAATATTTAACAAATTTGAGGTTTTATACATGGACTGACAGAACAGTGGTTTATGGTATCCCGGGCTACACATCAGGCATACCTATGACGGACGCTTTAGCGATTTGCAATCAGAACAACCATAATATAAACTGCAGAGATGCTGACGCCAGAGCAACTAATCTGGCCCATGATAAAGAGCAACGGTCCGATGCTTTCTTAACAAGAGTCAAGTGTTCATGTGCATTTATATATAGTCAGGTGGATGATAGACTGAACTGTTTCCACTACATCATGCTTTTCCGTCGACACTACCTTATCGACGGTGTTGTCACCCTACACTGGCGGCGGCCGTTTCTACGCTGCGTCTATGATGCGAACACATATTTTACACAATAAAGCATACAGGGTTATTTAGGCGGATTGTAGTAAGTTTCTTGTATGGAACGAGGATGGGACGTGTGCGATTGTGTTTACTTGGAGATGGTGGTACTACTTCCCCTCCGCATTTCTTCCCAACAAGTGAAATTGCCGCTGGTCTACTCGTCATCATTTTGAGGTATGCAACACCGGTAATCAATAACTCCAGACCGACCGTTTGTATACACAGCTTTATTCCGCCTAGTATTGCTACGTCTCGTCTTTATGACTCAATCTACTTACTTATTACTTCAGAATACTTCATCAAATCGAGTATGTGTCGGCCACAACATTGTCGGCCGATAAACAAGCGTCCGAAGACCAGTGTCAGTCTGGTCTTTTGACCAATCGCAGCCACGCAAGCAGATTAGTCAGCTACAAGTCGGTTTCCATATGGCCCCGCCCAAGACTGTTATGAATGCTCAGCACTCATTTGGAAGGCCACACTCGCGGAGCTGAACGTATGCCTTCTTCCGGACGCCAACATGTTTTAACTTGTTCTCCACTATTATCTGCTTAATCCCGCCTTAGCAGCAATACAAGTAGACAACCATAAAGCACGTAAAGCACTGTAGTATTGACGTACCCAAACTGTGCGTTAGTAGTTTGGGCATGTATGAGGCGGCGGGCTGTTGGTATTATGAATTCAAGGAACTTGTGACTTGCGAGCCGCGATTTCCACTTTAAACGCGGCAATCTCGATTGATTTAAAGAATGCTGTGTCAGTCATCGTTGCTTTCCTCCAGGCCGGTCTGTTCTGGGCCACATACATTTAAATCTACTATTGGCAATGTATTTGGGCGCAATGTGCTCCGACCGGCCCCGCCATGGGAAACCATCACCTCTCGAGAGACGTCCACGTATTCGCAGATCTGGTTTCTGCACAGGTGTCTCGACCATAAATTGTTGCCGAATTGTGTTTCAAACAGGCTCCCGGTTAACACGGATTTGGAGAGGCGAGCAGGATTTTAACATGGCAGAAGGATGGTCTGAGTGCTCCTCCAAGACTGCCAACGGAGACTTTGCAAGTACCGTCAAAGCATTGATCGAGAAAAGACAAGATGTTTTTAGTTGATGATCGATATCGAAACAACTCTGATCCTGTAGAAGGTAGCTGAACAACCCCGCGAACAGAGAATGACACGCGACGAATCACCGGACAACAAATTCCGAAAGCTGCCCAGTCAAACGTCGCCCAGAAACGACAAACTGGTGCACAACATGTCGTCGAAGGAGCTGACAAATGGTCAGATGCAGATTTCACGTCACGCAGCTTCTTTCAACACGACGGAAGCCAAACCTGTTAACATGATTGCAGCAGTGGAATCAATCCTTAGTCAGACGGGCGCAACGAAGGAGACTACGAGCCGCATCCGACACCAAGTGTCGTCTCTGCTAATGGCCCAGAGGCCGTTGGAAGTGTATTCGAAGGTCGGACGTGATGCGCTTAGAGAACTCAAGGCCGACAAAGACCTGGTCGTCGTGCCAGCGGACAAGGGAGGCTCCACGGTTTTACTGGACAGGACAGACTACCTTAAAAAAAACCAAAGGTTTACTGGAGAGCCGACAGTTCTATGTCCCATGTGCAACTAACTATGTAACAGCGCTGACACGCGAAATTAATGCTACGTTGTTGGCCTTGGAGAACTCAGGTGAAATAACAGCGACCGACAGACGCATGGCGAGACCCCAAGATACGGCTGTGGCCCGATTCTATGGCCTCCCTAAGGTGCGCAAAGACGGCGCTCCTCTCCGACACATCGTGTCGCTCAAATGGACTCCAAAGTACGAACTGGCTAAGTGGCTGTTCTGGCGTCTGCATTTCGTGACTGCTGACTCAGACACCACGGTATTATCATCAGTACAATTTCTGGAGAGTCTCAAAGCGGTAAGTCTCCATCCAAATTGGATCGTGGCATCTTTTTATGTTACATCGCTTTTTACTATTATTCCCCAGGACCTGGCGATCGAGAAAATCGATCTGCTTCTACGAAGCAAATACAATGAAACAGAGGATCGTCTTGGATACGCCCAAATCTTTTAGCTTCTGAAGCTCTGTCTCAGGACGTACTTCACGTTCGACGGGACAATCTATGAACAGGTGAAGGGCACACCAATGGGATTCATCGCCGTGTCGGTCCTGTAACGGTTGGAATCGCTGGTCTTCCAACACCACAGACCAAATTCTGGCCGCGGTGTACGAATGATACCTTCGTTGTTATTGACCGGGATCAACTGCTGGCATTCAAGCAACATCTGAACGGCGTCTTCCCGGACATTCAATTCACGATGAAGGGGAAGTGAACAACCAGCTGGCCTTACTGGATGTCGCAAAGATTGTGGTGGGCTAAAGACCAATTTGTTCATGAAAGCGAGAAATGCGATGCAAGTACTAAGCTTCAACAGCAATTACCCAATTAACTACAAACGCAGTTGTGTAAGGACGCTCTATCGGCATATGGAAACGCACTGCAGTAAGCCGGAAGAAAGGACTGCCGTACTACATTACGTCCGACGGGTATTCAAAGCCAATGGCTCCGCGCGCAATTTCTTCAACCGCTGCATACGCAAAAGTCACGCGGAAAACGCAATGGTGAACACTTTTCCCAACACCAGGGACAACGCGTCAGATGGTTGAGCAATTGTCACATCAGCATCTAACGCACGTGATGAAGTTGCAGCAATAAATTACGCGAATGTCGGCTATCACAGCATGTGCAACGGTCTTTGAAGAAGGGCGGATAAGGCAGGAAGGTCACGGATACGCCAATGGACTCGCCATTACCCAGTCTAGTCTTAGAATGGGTCCTGTAAAGCTATAGGATGTTTTTTCACCAACAGCAACCTGTGTCTTGACGCCGATGCGTAGATGACGCGATTATTATATCTCAGGGAGGGAAAAAAATCAGAGTGCCTGTACAATAACCTCTCTCCCAGCATCCTTTTCATATATAACGTCAAGGATTTCAAATATTTGCCTTTAGAATTGATGAAATCAACCAAACGCTGTATGAGATGTGACTAACAAAAATCCAGTCCATTGCTGTCATAACATTCGCTGAATAGGACACAATTGCATCTAAGTTCATGCTGTCGATCCTGAAACTCTTCCGGATGTGCCCTTTTGTCATTTACCTTCTGCATCCCCAATACAGCCTCTATTCCACTTTCCCGTATTTTTCTCTGCCCACCTGTCCGCTACCTCCGACTGCCACTACCAACTCCAACACTTCCGCCACCAGATGTATTCACTCTTCTGCGGACCCTGTTTATATCACTCGCAGTGGTCTTCATGTGCACTTTCCTGATCGGTTGATCACTCATTTCGTTTAGACCAGTACACATACTTCGGCGTCGTATTCGCTGCCCTCCGGTTTCGGATGTGGGGTACTGTGCAGAGGCACCAGACTATCTTGACTTTCCCTACATGTTCCTCATTCTTGAAATTATTGTTTGTTTAACTGAATGGAAGGAAGGCAGCGCTTAGCGACGCGCTTGGCATGTGTTTGATTGTTAGTTCGTTTGAGTTTTGATTGTTACTTCTTTCATAACTCTAGTCATATCCTGATATTCATAGTCTGGGATTAACTGTTCTCACTTAATCGCTCGCGACAATGTAACCGAAGGAGAACGCTCTCCGCTTTTTGTACTGCACAAAAACCACAAGCCTTACGTTATCGATAGCTAAGTGTCAGTCTAAAAAATAACCCAGCGCACAATCTGACCACACTGATTCTGCAAATTCAACACATCTGTTACAAGCGTCGAGGATGTAAAAATGTGTTAAAAGTGTTAAACCTGAAATGAATACGGTATTATTCGATGTGATATCGGTGAACAAATTTATCCCAAGGAACCTGACATGGAAGTGCGTAAAAGCTCGGTTAATAACTGAGAACTAGCGTGGATATTTAATATTCTTTCGAAAATCGGCTTTTCAAATTTAAGGACGGACAATGCAAGGTCACAAATACGCCACCAACCAGTCTAGTTACAGAATGGGTCCTACGAGTGCGAGAAGCGGTTCTTTTACCCAACATGAACCTGCGTTTTGACGCTGATGCGTAGACCACGCAATTGCTATGTCTGAGGGGGGAGGGCGAGCAAACCAGACTGTCTGTGTCTGCTTACTAACCTCTCCCCCGGCATCCTGCTCACATATAAATTCAAGGGTGTCTAATATTTGCTTTTAGCCGCGAAACAGTCAAACGATGTATAACATGCGACTAACAAAACTCCCGTCCATTGCCGTCATAACAATAACCTAATAGTACATAATTGCATTCGAGCTAATGCATTGCAGTAAGTCCAGCGGGCGGACGAGTACAGAAACAGCGGAAAGTTCGAGAACTACTAGAAATGGATGAATACCCAAACACCTCCGTCAGTCGCTGCCTCCCAACGTGCCCTCGCGAAACAAACGAGAAAGAGCCAGCAGTTTTTTTTTTGACAAAATGGTAATTCAAAACAAACGAACGTATTGCTGCGGGCCTGTGTGTTGGTACCCCCGTTGTCCGACAATTGTTATGAGTACCTCAAACATGTAGATGAAGGGGAGCCTGAGTGCATAATAATCTTCACAAATATACGGACTAGAAATAATGGCAACTCAGGCGACAATTTATACAGTGTCACCATACGGGTCGGATAGGCGACACATTGTCGCAAATCCTACTCACATCCTGCCAAAAGACCTTTAATCAAACTTCGTTATCACTCGCATAACTGTGCTTGCCGGCAATATGATGGCACACCATTCACTGAGGGCCAGGCTGTCTAACAATGACATCACCAACATACACGTTTTGTACGACCGATGGGGGACAGCGAATAAGCCAGAACGGGGCATTAAAGTCTGTTTTGCCTTTGTGGGCAATGCTACACCCCTAGGTACACTCCAAACACCGTCAGGCCTTTTGTTTACGCAACCGAGGCGCGGTCAAGTACTCAGTCTAGAATGCATGCCGTTATCACACTGTGACACGGTATGCACCAAAATCTCGACAAAACACTACCGCCTCCCTCCACCTTAATTGCCATCCTTGTTCTTTGACTGTAAATCTACTCACTAAAGTTTGAATCCTCACCTTCGCTGACAATGACCTTTAACACATGTCTGAAGGCTCTTGCGCGAAGTCTATAGCCCTACAGGTCAAGTCTGTCAAGTCTGCGATATCAGTCCAATACTTTCTCCAGCTGGTTTACTGCACGCTGGACGAAAACTGCTTTGCTGCTGCCACAGTTTGAAGTCCCAGATTAGGCGTAAAATTCACGGATCGTTTAAAACCTGAGCATACTCGAAAATGTTCACAGGCGTGCACCCGAACTACTTAACTGACATATATTACTAGCCTAATCGCCGAATGAGATCACTCTGTTCTATGTGGTATAAAATAAGCACTAAGAAAGGCTCCGTAGCTGCGCCTTTTACGGCTTCCGTAGACTCTCTGTCAGCCCCCACGTCACGGCTGGCCTTCCTGAGAAAATTATTTAATTAGCATAAGCCGGATTTTGTTGTTAGATATCGCAACAATAACAAAAACCGCAGTGACAATCATTCAGTCATCCCCTACCGTTAATGATTTATCCTAATGATCCGAAATTGGGTAAATTTATTATCTGCTTGCATGTTACCGCCCGGCACAATTTTAAAAGGAAAATCCCGTCAATGACTTTTATGGCGAATGTAATAGTAATTTTTTTCGATGTTACCAGCGTAGTTGACACACATTTTAATTTATATGAAAGTATTGGGATTTGGGTCTTCAAATTTCTCTATCTCTCTCTCGCACATTAGCGAGTACAACAAGTGGCCCAACAATGCTCATTTTTATATGGCCATGGAAATCCTCGTGTACCGGTTGGACTTTGAATCTTGTTCGGTAACCCAGCGACATGTTGAGTGATTTGAGATGATTGTTGAGATGCTTTGACGTTGAATAAAGACATCATGAATTGCACGCATGGATGCTTGTGCATTGTGATGATTTCTCCATCGCATATGCCTACATCAGAGTGCGGGAGATGTTTGAATTCCGGTCTGTTGAATGGACTATAACGAATTTTCCGCAAACGAATTACAGTCATGCTGCTAGTGGTGATTAAATGTCAATTGACTATGTGGCATTGAGGGAATAAAACAGCTAATGAATGAGTTCTACTGCACAAGGTCAGATGGGTGCGGAACTGAGCGGGCAGAAGGGTGTAGCATTGGCGATACGATGCCAAAAAACGTTGAATAACGGCCCTCGATTTGGAGAAGATCTATAGGTATTTGTACGCACTAAATGGGTGGAACTGGGTGGTAGTGACTGCGTGAGCACATACTGCATCTACGACAGACAGAATGAGATGCACTTTATCGATGCGCATAAACGATTGCGTCCACATTCGACTCTACTACAATAAGGGGGTTAGCTTGTAACAACTTAAATACATATATTACATTCATGCGCTGTGCGGTCAATCCTTGACGAATGACGGATGCAAAATTGGGAAAATAAATTAGATGGCTGCAAGTGACGTCACTACACGCTAGCTGCTCTATCTTGCGATAGGCACAATTCGCGTTGATCGAATCATGTGGGGAAGCATGCGTGTGATCGCGTCTTGCGACACCCACGGCAGAAATAGTAAATCATAACTTTTCGCCACCTCAAACCTTCAGCATTTTAAAGGTACAATGGAAATTGGCTGAACTGACATATGCGAAATCTGCTGTTTATGGATGCTGGCATACAGGCAAGCCTTGGTAGTCGCGGGTATGTGAACATTTAACTTCTTGCCTAATCTCCGCAGACGTTCGCTTGCCCCACTATTGCATCTGCCGTTAATATGATGCTGATTTAAACAGGTACTCTCCGATCATCCCATTGCACTTTGAGGTGCCCGGAACATCAATTTCGGTAGGGCTATTTCCACGCAGAGGAAACGGCTATTTACTTATGCGATTACTTTAGATTTCGTTTTGTTCTTTTGCAGCGCATTCTGTGGGCCATGGGTGTTAACAGTGTATTCAGGATTTTTTAAAGTCAGTCTATCACAGAATTTGCCAATATTCAATGACTGTATTCAGACCAACGAATAATGTAAAACCTCCACCAGAAAAGAAAATTTAAATCATTTCCATCAAGTAATATGCGTGCTTACGGTTGCTTTTAACTCTGAAACATTACTCCCCTTGTCATGTAAATACCATATGCACTGGAGCATTTACCCGCTCAAGATTTGCCGTGCCACACAATCGTTTGGTGTTATTTTACATTCTATTATTAATCATTCACTATTTCGCATCAAACGAAAGTAAATGTCTCAAAATCACACACGCGAAACACAACTAATCGAATACTCCAAAATTTAAGCAATTCATCGATTTTTGAGATTCATGTTATTAACAAATATGTGCCAAATTTTAGATTCTTTAGAAGCAGATGTATGTGGAATATTCTTAAACGCCTACCGTGATGACCACCCGGGGATCCGCATGACCTACAGGAGGGACGGTCACCTCCTGAATCAACGGCGGATGAACTTCCATTCGCGCGGATCCACAACCACCGTTCACGAACTTCTCGTCGCCGACGACTGCGCCCATAACACCACCTCGGAAGAGGAGATGCAACGCAGCGTGGACCTGTTCTTCGCCGCCTGCAAGAACTTCGGTCTGGTCATCAAACCGCAGAAGACGGTGGTCATGCATCAACCGCCATCCAATACAGCCACTCCTCACAACGCGTCGCAAATCAGTGTAAACGAAACCCAACAGCAAAGGTGGAGAACTTCAGGTACCTGGGCAGCACACACACACACCTTTAATACCAAAATCGACGCCGAAGTCGCTCGCGGGATCTCGAAATCCAGTAAAGGCTTCGGCCGCCTCCAAAGCACCGTTTGGAATCGTCACGGTCTGCAACTGAGCACGGAACTGAAGATGTACAAGGTCGAAGCTGTTGTACGGAGCGGAGACAGTGTACACAAAGCAGGCACGCCACAGTTGTCTCCGTCGCATCCTTCAGGCTGAACTGGCACGATCGAATCCCCGACACTGTTGTGCTGGAACGGACGGAAATCCTCAGCAACTACACCGCGCTGAGACACACGCAGCTGCGTTTGAGCGGTTACCTGGTGGTCATGGACGACGAGCGACTACCCAGACGACACTTCTACGGAGACGTCGCCACGGGCTCTCGCCGCCAAGGAGACCAAATTCGCCGTTACAAGGACACTCTGAAGTCCTCCATGAAGCGCCTGCAAATCAACCCGACAAACTGGGAAGACCTCGCACACGATCGACCGACCTGGAGGAGAGCAGTGATGACATGCGCTGCGATCTATGAGGCCAACCGAATCTTCGCTACCAAAGTGGAACGCGAAGCACGCAAATCACAGCTACGTCCCGTCCGCAACGCCGACGCACAACCGCTACCAATGTCTGACGTTTCGGATTCCTGCTCGAATCCATCATCAGATACATAATCAGATAGGGGTGGTTCATGCACATGTGGCTGCAGTATTTACAGGATGCCGTAGCCATGCCACCGCATACCTATGCATGTTCACGTCTCGCTCCCCTTCATCCGGGCAACTTTGTCAACCGGTGCATACGCAAAATGGACGAAAGGCCCAACCGCAGGGACACCAAAGTTTGGCGAGCGCTTCCATATGTCAAGAACATTTCGGAAAATGTTGGCCGCCTTCTCGCACCGCTGGGGGTTGGAGTTGCACACAGGCCAGAGGCAACCATCAGGCGTCAACTGATGAAACCAAAAGACCCACTGCCACGGCAAGAAACGTCTGGAGTCGTTTATCGGATCTGGTGCAGTTGCGGACAAAGCAAGTACGTCGGAGAAACCGGAAGACAGCTCCGAACGCGGATGGCCAAACACGCTGCAGCAGTGCGGAGAAATGACGCCAGCTCTCAAGTTGCGGCTCATTCGACGAGTTCCGGCCACACATTCAAATTTGACGGGGCCGAAGTTCTCGCAAGAGGTGACAACCGCGTGAGCCGGGAGCTGCTTGAGTCACGGTTCACTGGCCCTCAGTCTATTAACAAGTGCAATGATCTTCCCATTCAATACAGCGTGCTGAGACTTCGTCTAGGCGGAGAAATTGGCCACGCGGAGAGCGCCCTGATGAACACTCTTCCCAACACCCGGGTCAGCGCGTCAGATGGTCCAGCAATCATCACACCAACATCCAACGCACGTGATGAAATTGCAGCAATTAACGACGCGAATATCGACCATCACGCCACGTGCAACGATCCCTGATGAAGGGGAGGGAGCCGTGAACATTCATATGCATGCGGTGGCATGGCTACGGCGTCCTATAAATACTGCAGCCACATGTGCATGAACCACCTTTATCTGCTTATGTCTCTGATGATGGATTCGGGCAGGAATCCGAAACGTCAGGCTAATAAAGCTCTTGTCCCGGCGATCGTGTCTTTTTCTTCAAGACTGCTTCCTGGGACTCGTCTTTCCGCTTCTATTGACTCTGAGGTAAGTTTTCGCTGAACTGCGTCGTCTGACTTTATGCCAACCACACACACGATTTTAGCAAGAAAATGGGTTTGAAAAATTGCAAATCCGTGTTATGCTAAATAAGAGGATTGAGTCGTGAAGAGGAAACGTAGCAATACTAGGCGGAATAACGTTATATATACAAACAGTTCGTGTGGAGGGGAAGGATTACCACCATCTCCAAATAAACACCATCGCAAGCGTCCCATACTCGCTCCATACAAGAAACTTACTACACTCCGACTAAACAACCCTGTGGGCTTTATGATGTGAAATACGTGTTTGCGCGATGGGCGTGACGTAGAAACTGCCGCCATCAGAGTAGGGTGGCCACATAGCCAATAAGACAGTGTTGAGGAATAGCAAGATATAAAGTAGTCAGGTCAGTCTATCCTTCAACTAATTGTATATAAATACACATGAACGTATGCCTCTTGTTAAGAAAGCATCGGACCCTTCCTCTTTAACATGGGTAGAATGACTGGTATGTCTGTGTTGACAGACAGAAGTTTTCCCAGACTATTTGCTCAGAGGTGAGCATATCTGCAGTTTATATTATGGTCGTTCTGATTGCAAAACACTAAAGCGTCCGCCTTAGGTATGTCCGATGTGTAACTCGGGAGGATTAAATCCATCGTTCCGTCAATCTGTTTCCTAAATCTGAAATTGTAAAATGGATTGGCCCGTGTATGCTGCGAGTAACTCATATGAACATAAGGACTACTGACATGCGTATTTCATGAAGCATCTAAAATAAATGAATTGGTTTTCTGCACATTTTTGTTTTTAGAGAATAGGGTAAGATGTGGTTATGTATCCTCAACTGATGGACCCAATATTGTTTGGATTGGAGGTTAGGGTAAGTGTTTTGGGTTATGGTTATGGTCATGGGGTAGGCTTAAGGATTATGGCTAATGGACAGATTTGGGGGTTACATTCTAGGATAATGATTAGGGGCTATAGCAACTATTTCTTAGTCACTCAAATTACAACCGCGCATTCCCAATAGCTTTTCTTTTACAAAAAGCTGCTTGACCACATCGTCTGTGCATTCCGCTGCCCACCTGTAAATCCCCTATTACCGCCGTGCACATATTACAGGTGCCTGGGTTTTGGTTACCTCAGGTGCGGTTGCGTATCCTTATCTGACCAAGTATTACTGAAAGGCGCTTCGCCATCATCATCACCACCACCACCACCACCACCACCACCATCATCATCATCATCACCATCACCACCACCACCATCAACACCACCATCATCATCATCGTCATCATCGAAAACAACAACAGCAATAACACAAATACAACAGCTACTACTACTACTACTACTACTACTATTACTACTTCTACTATCACCACCAGTGCGGGTCACTTGTTTCAAAATAAGGGTGTTTGAGCTTGATCAAGATTGCAAAAAAGTGCTGATAGTGATTTATTTTGGGATTTGTATTGCTGAGAATCATAATTAATGAGTGAATTCTAAAATAATGAAATGATAAATGTCATAAAGCCCATTGGATTTGCAAAAATAAACGTTTTTTATTCATGTGTACGGGTTCTCTAAACAACTTACCCTACCACAAGTGATAGCAGTACGACCCCGTCGCATTTTTCTCCAGTAGGGATTTGGGTACTATTTTCACTCGAGGTATTCTCTAATAAATATGCTTCGTACTTTTGTTACCACAAACTCGGTACTGAACCGTTGGTACCCACTGAGGGCTCTGAAAATCGAGGGATTTTTGGGCGGCTTAAGATTTACGAAAATTCCTACTCAAAATTTCGAAAGGAAGTTTGGCGAGCATATGTCTGCTTTCAACAACTTCACTTCAGGCCTGTACATTTATATATCTATGGAAGTAGTGAATTAAAAGATACGCGTCCACTTAAAATGTGACCTTGATTACGAGCCTTTTATTTACCTGCCATCAGTATCAGAGGCTATGGACTTTCGGCCATGATTTTAGTAATTAATCGAGCAGGATACCTGTTCTGGCGAAAAGAAGTGCGATGATCTGCCAGCTGAGCAGACTTCTCTCACTGTTTCTTTTGAGCAGTGGACAAAATTACGCCCAATGTTTTGCTTGCGAAGCTCCCAAAATGGATGCATTCGCCGAGGAAGATATTGTTCTCACGGACTAACGAGTTATATCTCATGAGCCCCTAGCCTTAATGACAGCAAGTAAAACTGACAAAAGGGCACGGAAGCGAATCACGCTACCAAGGCGGGTTGTACATGTGTGTTGTTTGTACATTATCAAGCCTATTCAGAATGCATATTCTTCTAGCACGATTGGCATGACAGTGCAGCGGGCCTTATTGCTGACTAAGAATTACGCAAATGCGGAAATTTGCAAATGTCCCTACCCATGATTAAGGACCTTTAGGAAGTAGTCCATTCGGCCTTGGACTGCATGAGGCGTCCAGAAAGAGGTGACCCTCTGTGTTCTCTGTTTGGTAAAGTATAGATCAACTTTGGGTGTCCATGGTTCACTATGTTCAGGGGGGGTGTTAAAATCAGGTTCCTTATGCGCTTTCGTCAAAATAGCAGCAGCATATTTAACATAAAAATAAGGGGTAGAATAAAAGACAGAGACAGAACGTTGCTTTCGAAAACTTCTCGTCAGGACAGTGCAGTGATGTAAGACGTAGAGCAGTGAGTGAAAACTTTAATCAATGCGAGTTTTTAAAATACAGCTAGGCAAGAGCAGAAGGACGCAGAAAGTTGTATGTGGTAAGTCAACCTCTTACTGGGGGCATAAAGTCGGTTTTTGTAACCTGATGGCGAATTCTTCTGCTGTTACTAACAGTCGCTAGACCTCTCGCGTAGTGTAGCTGTAGCTTGGCGGTTAAATTGACGTTCGAATGTAAAAAAAACATTTGCCGTGCAGCGAAACGGCAATTCCTTTGAGGTTCCGACGGGAATTACCATCGGGAAAAGCTACCGTAAAATCTCGCCACACAAAGTGTCCATCGCTTTCTTGACTGGACCGCTACTGAAACAAGACGAGCTGTTTAAGGATGGAATGGTTTTCGCATTAAGACTTATATCTGCGACAGAATGTTTGAATTCGTTTCCTGTCTCTGTGTTACGTGTGGCTACTGAGTGTTGAATCGGCCTGCACATTTTTGCCAGTCAGTTTGCAAAGTACAGGAGGCTTTATTCCTAGCCAAAAAATTCACAAAGTTGAGTAAGAAAACCCACTTGCTACCTCTCTACTTGCAGCTCTGGCAATGCATGGTGCGGCATATGGTGTGTCTTTTCCTGAAATCTTGCAAAGCAGCTAGACATCCATTACTAACGTTTAGTAACAAAAGTAGCGCCCATGCACCATCAGTGTATATTTAAATATATCAAAACACAAACAGGAGTTATACCATAGGGCATTTTCAATGCATTGCCGTTGTTATGATAGCTGGCAAGAGACAGATCAGGATTTTCCAAGGCTTTATATGGTGCACTCCGTTGAAGGCAACACGAATTACTGTGGGCAACAAATCCGGAGCATCACTTGGAACCAGTCTTATTACCGAACAGTCCGAATTGGAATCAATAAGTTTGTACTCCATCGTTGTTGTCCCAAGTCGTCCGGTGAGGACAAGAGTAGACATTCCTTTAAAGACCGGGTCGACTGTTGGTTATTGGAATAAACATTATATGTCAGATTTGGTGTTGAAATGGCACGTACACAGTTTTAGCATCGACACCAAAGAAATGTTTTTTCGAGCATTAATTGCTTTTCTGAGTTTTACAATGTTGATCCGACTATCCGTTTAAAACACAAGAATGTACAAGTCGGTGCAGTTGTCGACGGTTGTCCACGGTGCATCGAAGTCTTACCTAGTCCCTTATTCGCTTTTGATTTCACTTAAACAAATCATTTAATATATGAATTTGATGCCTATAAGGTTTGTAATTGTCATAAGAGTGTCGTTCAGAATTTTGTTTTATGTACTGATAAGTGCCAAATGATGTGCCCGTGTAATATTTCGTCAAATAATTAATAATAATTAAAACAGTAAATCTCGTTTGCACTTTAGTGCATAACGAATATAGAATAAAGTAGTACAGTCCAAACTCACGATATGGGGCCAGGTAGACGTATCCACTATCAGGCGTCAGAGCATCGGAAAAAAACGCTATCTTTCCGCTAAGTATTGTGTCCTGAAATAACAATAATGTAGAAGAAGTGACGTAATAAAATGTATTGTGGAAGCGAAATGTAACCTGAGGACTACAATCTAATGTTCCTATGTTAATTAATTTAACATACCTGAACTCTGTCAGCAAACCAAATATGAACTGGGTTCTGAACTGTCGTATCAATTTCAATCCTTTCAGTAACGCCAACGCCTACTGGGATCGACGGATCTGTGGGAAAAACGTTTAAATCGGTGTTCACACGGCACAGGCGAACAATATAAATTCCAAATGTTAAATAATACATCATTGTCAGCTCATGCAATATCAGACTGCACGTCAAGCAAATGATCCCCTCTTAGAAAAATTTACTTAAGGGCAGAGTAGGCCACGCTATACCATTTGATCTAAAACAAACTTTCACTGAAGGCCTTTATAGGCTGACATTCATGCATTACTGACTCAAAATTTAAAGTCTGCTTCTCAGTGTAGAGGGCTAAGTTTAACGTATGTGGATAGAAAGTATACATAATTAATGGTAGTCATAATTATTATTCCGAAAACTGTGCAGTTTTCTACATGCTAAACTAAATTTCTACGCCAGG